AGTGTTTGTGTGTGCCCGGCTTACAAGACACACATCCATCAGAGTGGCAGCTCAAGTAAGCCTAATACTCGTATTTTGGGCCACATGATGGCAGTGAAGCATCTGGATCCAATAGATTAATCTTAATATGCTTTTTCTTTGTCTACCAATTTCCTTGTCAATGACATGCATTTCACAAATATAGTGAAGCACTCTTGAAATATATGATTTTCTAATGTTCCTCTTACTTTGCTTACACCTCAGGTACAAGACTTAACAATGAGCAAAACAGAGAAGCTCTTTTATCGAAGACTCCCTTTCACCCCTAATCCCCCACTGGAGATAGGACATTTGTTTTGCAGGATTTGAATGATATGGTTAACCCACTAACAATTGGTGTCCCACATATGAGACACCCGTAAAAATAAACATTGCCAGGTGTCAAGCCAGTGTGACACTGTATTGGGGCTCGCGCTCCAACGCAGCAGCAGGCGGGCAGAGTCCGGAGCAGCCCCGCCCGCCGATTTTGTAGCCGCCCAGAATCTTTTATTTTCAGCTTCAAACTATACCGGCCTTAGTGGGTTAAGTCTCCCCCTCCTAAAAATATGCATATGGTCCAGTCCTATCTAGTGGAAAATCACTGAAAAGGAGAATCCGTGGTCGACGCATTTGTATTTGCTTTTAATTTGAATTTCAGCTTAAATTTAAATGTAAATATTGATGTAAAACTAAATATAAATAATTCTGAATATCTTAAAATATATAATCATACATATGCTTTGAAATGAAAATATATACATTCCATACATAATATAGATCCATCCATCGCACCAAACGTGTGGGCAAAAGTCCAGTAGATCCATCCACCAACGTGTACATTCCATACAGAATATAGATTTTCACCGTGTACATTTTTTCCATTCATCCATCAATGGACGAGTGGGTATCCATCGCACCACACGTGTGGGCAAAAGTCCAGTGGATTAAGTCCCTCAATGGACAAATTCCTTTAAAAATTGCTGGATTTCACAAATCTATGGGAAGTCTGACTATACCTTAAAAGCTTATAAATCCCCATGAAATCCTTGAAACATATGCAATCTAAACTGCCCTAGGAGGATATATAATCATCTTTCTTGCCATTTATGGGTTACAATCTTAACAATTTAACCCATTCGTCCCGGGTGTCACATATATGAGACACAGGGAAAAATAAACAATGTCGGGCTGCCCGCCAGTGCGATGCTGACAAGGGGCCGTCACGACAAATGTTTTTAAAAATACTTTTTGAAATTTTGAAAAAAATCTCCTGTAAATCTAGCAGGCTTGGGCAATCCCCTGACGTAATATTTTTGCTAAATACGTAAAAATAAAGGAGTTATAACAAAATCTCTGACCCCCCGCCTACAGCTCCAATGTTTACTCTGTCACGTCTGTGCAAATATACTCGACAAATTTGTTTTTTTTTCGGATTTTTGGCATTCTCTGGTAGCTAGCTGGACTCTGTTTAACCATCAACTGACTGCCCAGACTGGCACTCTGGGGGACAAAATGTTGCTCTCTGTAAGACAAAACATTGCCAGCTCCTAACTACAAGAAACAATCTCGCAGACGTACACCCTCATCACACACTAAGGGGACAACACTAGAGGTAAATGGTATTTGTGTATTTAATAAACATAATATGATAAGAAATAATTCTCAATCACAGCTGCAGCAGTTGTTTATACATATAAAATACCTCACGTCGGGGTCAATCATGTGCAGTTATTGCTATTAGTACTTTGCAAAAGGGGGGGACCATGTACCAGCTGCACTTCAGAATACCATGTGAATGCTATAGAATGTAGCAAGCTTGCTGCAGAGATGAGAATTCTATTTAAAAAAAAAAAAAAAAAAAAAAAAAAAAAAAAGAGGGAAAAGCATCCTAAACTTTAGAGCCCAATATCTCAAAACTACACTTTTGTCAGCATTTTTCAAATTCATCCATAAATACTTGGGCAATTCTAAGAGGGTCTGCATCATTTGAAAGCTGAATAAATTTGCAATGGTGTTTTTAAACAAAATTTTCATTTTAGGTAATAGAAGTCCATATATTATATCTTATCTTCATAAGACTGAACATTCAGAAAAAAATAAATTCCTACTAAACTAAAAGGAAATTTTAAAATCCGGTCTTTGCAAGTTTTAGGTATTGCTATAGAGTATAGGTGGTATACTTTTCAACAAGTTTGTTCAATGGATAAGTGCGATATCAAAAATTCTGTGATTATTCAAAAACTTATTTTTCTTAAATAACCATTATCTATCATCCAAATATATGAAACTTGGTGGTGTTTATCACTTTATATGTATGTCATATAAACAAAAATAAAAATCCGATCACAATTGACAAACTTCGTTCTCGAGCGCAATGGCCCCCTTAAGGAGACAATCCCGAGAGAGTATGTATGCCAAGTACGAAGCACTAATGTTTGAAAATGGCCATATAAGTATGGATCTAAATATTTCCGTTAGACTTCGGTCAACGGTCGGTACATTACAGCATCGGTAAATTTGATTTGAAATCGGTTGTTTCCACTGCAAAGGGCAATTCAATACGTAGGGTACCTAAAAGTTGGATTTTTGAACTTTGGAGATGTAAGCAAGATACCGATTATTTCATATTGGAGATGATAGCACACAGTAATACCTGCTCTGAAGTAAAAACTAAATGGAATTATGAACTCGTATGTGTGTCCAGTCTTCATCTAGAGTTGAAAAAGCTATTGCATCTGTTTTGTGCATTTCCAAGAAAAAATATTACAATTAGACGTTACTGTAGGTCTTATGTATCACAAATATGCAAATATCCAACCACACCTAGGCATCTGCATGATTTCATGTACTTGTTAGTAAAGATAATGGGTGCAAATGACAAATCACCAACTCCACACTCATTTCTTGTTGCAATCTGTTACTATTGACAATTATCAAAGAAAACAGTTTGATAGGGATAACTAATATATTTTATTCCTTTACATATAAAGTTGATGTAGGCCTATTAAATGCAGATGATTAATTTTCTAAACTTTATGTGCATGTGTTTACATACATATATGATCCTCCTCAAAAATTATAAACACCCTGTGACAAAGATAATTCCAAATGACCTGGTAATCATCCCATCACAAAGCACACTAAATAAGCTTTTTTCTGATATATAACATCATTAGATTGAGACAAAAAATAACAGAGATAGCAAACTTAGGTATATCTGCATCATATCTCTGTTCTTTGTTTACATTACCTTCTGTAAATCCTAACTCTCATGATTTTCATGCGATTCAAACACAGTCTGTGGCTTTTGCAAGAGCCCTCAGGTCATTGTAAATGGCCGATTTCAAAATTTTGGACAATAAAAAAAATATTGATTATTTAATATTGAAAAAAGAAGACCAAAATAGTACTCCATGTCAACCAGTCCCCCACCCAAAAAAGAAAAGGAAATTAACCACTAGCTGATAGGTGGCATGCACGTACATGCCATGGCTGCTGTGGACCGAAAAATGGACAGCATCGTATCATGGCCTCGTATCATCATGCCCATTCCTGCGCCATTGGCTCGTCAGATGGAGTTTATTTTTCTCCAATAGTAGTAGCTTCATTTATTTGGTAAAGATTTTAGGCAATAGTACCTATAATGATGGTAAACCATCATAATTATAATATTTTTATCAATTATAGAAAAATAAGAGCTTTTAGGTGTCAAATTCACAAACTATAAAACTAGCCAGGCGCAAACAGGGGAAACTGCCAATGTGCGCCAACCATCCCATTCATAAGTCCATTTGCTAAACTTTTATACCTGTCAGCACTGGTTAAAAAATCAGCCATTTACACAGCCTTAGGTTAGGGTAGATCTAACACAAGTATTTTTGGAATTATTCAGGAAAAAACATTGAGGAAGAAATTAAAATCATATATGGGACGTAGCACAATTCTATACTCTATGTTATGCAAAAAGAATCAATGAGTTATCTCCATCCGATATTTTTTGTATGATGAAATGAGTAGGGAAAGGTGGATATTTCCTGCGACGGTCCCCCCAAGGAACTATCACCTATATAGTCTATCTCACCTTACATATCGATAGTATTGGACCACATGCCAGGGCTGATAGCTTGCATCCCGAAAGTTACTTGCACCACAACGGAAATAGGTTGTCCGAGAGATGTAACAACCGTTGAACCGTGGATGAGGCCTGTGTATGAACATCTGCCTCCAAGATCCATACACTCCTGGGGTGCCTGTGTTGATTCCCCAGATCCTGTTGAGGCAACAAACTTTTCATTCACTGTATACTTTTCATAAAAATAACTGTTTAAGAATTCATAAAATACATTAAAAATATCTAGTTTTCTACTCATATGTAGAAAAAAAAAAAAAAAAAAAAAAAAACCATAGAACACAAGCATTGCTTTCAAGGGTAAGACACTGCATACATCTTAAACATTAAATACATTTCTTATCTTTCATCTTTTAAGGGCTTAAGTGTATGAAAGAGCAATTGCAAGCATCCACATAAATGATCTACATTTAGTATTTCCTAGTAATTTTCCCAAATACTTGAGAACTATGCATTAACATTTTTCTACCAACTGTCTACTTCTCATCATTAAACCTTTCATAAATGTACATAATAAACAAGCCTTACTTGACACAAGCTCTGTGCCAGATCTCAGGATTCCTAGCTACAAGGTAGAATCCGTGACACACACGAGAAACTTGCTCCAGGGAGCGAATGTCCAAGTCATTACCAACAACCCATCTCATTATGCGGTCTAACATTTCTGGCGGCAGGCACGAAATGTGTGGGGCCTGGAATTCAAAAGAGCAAAAAATGATGAAAATGTGAAAACTGCTTTGTTACAATTCCTACCCACCATTACTCTACTAGTTTATATACAATGTTGACATTTCATTCAAGAGAGCCTAAACAGTTTTTAGAAATCCGAAATACACAAGATGGAGAAGAGGCATATGGGCAAAAATTAAGGAGTGGAGGAAGGGAGTGGAACCCTAGGGATATTTAGCTAAAGACCTTTATCTTTATGCTTACCTCTTGCTCAAACTGCGGGGAACACATAGCCTGTGCTGGAGCCATAAGCAACTGGAAGCGAGCAGTGAGATCTTGCAGGTCTTCTTCATCCAAAACATCTTCATTACCATTCTCTTCTCCCTCAGCTTCAGAGCAAATGCAACGGATGCCTGAAATACAATCTATAGTGATGCTACATCCTTATCACCACACAGGGGGGTAGGGGGTCATGATTTATCATAATAATATACATATACACAATACATTTACACAAACATACATACATACACACACTCTCTCTCTCTCACATGTGTATATATACATACATTATACAATCATACACAAACACATGTGCATGCACTCACACACACGCACGCATGCACGCACGCACGCACGCACGCACGCACGCACGCACGCACGCACGCACACACACACACACACACAGTATCGTGATACATGTATTGGTAATATGTATCAATCGATACTTTTGTATTGGTATTGGTATACCTTAGCTACTCAATAACAGTATCCTTTTATTGGTATGGCAAGGGTATATTTCTAAAGAAAAGAAAAGAAAAGAAAAGAAAAGAAAAGAAAAGAAAAGAAAAGAAAAGAAAAGAAAAAGAAAAGAAGAAAGAAGAAAGAAAGAGAAGAAAAGAGAAAGAAAAGAAAAAGAAAAGAAAAGAAGAAAAGAAAAAGAAGAAAAAGAAAAGAAAGAAAAGAAAAGAAAAGAAAAGAAAAGAAAAGAAAAGAAAAGAAAAGAAAAGAAAAGAAAAGAAAAAAAAAGAAAAGAAAGAAAAAGAAAGAAAAGAAGAAGAAAAGAAAGAAAGAAAAGAAAAGAAAGGAAAGAGAGAAAGAAAAGAAAAAAAAGGAAAAGAAAGAAAAAAGAAAAGAAAAAGAAAAGAAAAAAAAGGAAAGAGAAAGAAAAAAAAAAAAGAAAAGAAAAGAAAAGAAAAGAAAAAAAAGAAAAGAAAAGAAAAGAAAAGAAAAGAGAATATGTTGTATATATGTATATATATATGTATATATATATACGCACACACAGCATGCACACACACACATACATTTGCTGTTGGCAAAGGAAGCTTTAACCAGTATTGGGAAATTCCTAGAAATTTGAGATATCTCCAATTAACTGCAAAGCAAGTTACAAGTATTTACCAATATTTCTTAAAGATATGACTAACTTCAAATAACCACTGCCGATAACCATGGCCTTCTACGCCGCCTTCACAAAGGCCCACACACACAACATATATATATGTGTGTGTGTGTGTGTGTGTGTGTGTGTGTGTGTGTGTGTGTGTGTGTGTGTGTGTGTGTGTGTGTGTGTGTGTGTGTGTGTGTGTTGTGTGTGTGTGTTTGTGTGTGTGCGTGGTGTGTGCGGTGTGTGTGTGGTGCGTGTGTGTGTGCGCGTCTGTGCGTGTGTGTGTCTGTGCGTGTGTGCGCGTCTGTGCGTGTGTGTGTTGTCTGTGCGCGTGTGTGTGGTGTGCGTGTTGTGTGTGTGTGTGTGTGTGTGTGTGTTGTGTGTGTGTGTGTGGTTGTGTGGTGTGTTGTCTGTGTGTGTGTTGTGTGTCTGTGTGTGTGTGGATTGTGTGTGTGCGTGCATGTGTGTGCGTGTGTGTGTGTGTGTGTGCGTGTGTGTTTGTGTGCGTGTGTGGGTGTGCATGTGTGTGGTCTGTGTCTGTGGTGTGCACGTGTGTGGTCTGTGTGCACGTGTGTGTGTGTCTGTGTGCACATGTGTGTGTGTGTCTGTGTGCACTGTCTGTGTGTGTGTGTGTCTGTGTGCTGTGTATGTGTCTGTGTGCACGTGGTGTGTGTCTGTGTGCACGTGTGTGTGTGTCTGTGTGCACGTGTATGTGTCTGTGGTGCACGTGTATGTGTCTGTGTGCACAGTGTATGTGTCTGTGTGCACGTGTGTGTCTATGTGTGTGTGTCTGTGTGCACGTGTGTGTGTGTGCAGTGTGTGTCTGTGTGTGTGTCTGTGTGCACATGTGTGTCTGTGTGTGTGTGTTGTGTTGTCTGTTTGCACTTGTGTATGTGTATCTGTGTGCACATGTGTATGTGTGTCTGTTTGCACTTGTGTATGTGTATCTGTGTGCACATGTGTGTGTGAGTGTGAGTGTGCATATGTGTCTGTGTGCATATGTGTGTGTGTGCACGTGTGTCTGTGTGCACATGTGTCTGTGTGCAAGTGTGTGTGTGTGTGCACGTGTGTGTCTGTGTGCACATGTGTGTGTGTGTGTGCAACACTGTGTGTGCACGGTGTGTGTGCAGGTGTGTGTGTGTGTGTGTGTGCACGTGTGTGTGTGTGTGCACATGTGAGTGTGTACATGGTGTGTGTGTGCAGGTGTGGTGTGTGTGTGTGTTTGCACGTGTGTGTGTGTGCATGTGTGTGTGTGTGCATGTGGTGTGTGTGTGTATGTGTGTGTGTACGTTGC